ACAAGCTCGTATGCCTAATCCATAATACAAACAAACATACTTTTCCATACAGTTTCATATCATAAAGTACTTAAAGATAAAGACGTGAGTCCAAGAAATCTTTGACTTCAGAATAAAAAAATCATGAGTGGTTTGTTGTTTCAGAACTGTATTTTGTGGTACCGTATCATCTGAACCATATATGTGTAATTACTAATTAATATGACATGTATAGAAATTAACTAACTCATATTTTAAAAACCAGTAACAAAGTGAAAATCTCAATAATTATCAGGCATGCAATTCAATGTATACGTTCTTACAAGCCATTCACGATGTCCTTGAAGCCCTTCGATGTCGAGTAGCTTAACAGCAACAGGCTGAGCCTTGAGGCTTTGTCGGAGATTCTCATCGATGTACCCTTTATAAACTTTACCGAATCCGCCTTCTCCAAGAAGATAGTTTCCAGAGAAACATTGAGTGATCATCTTGAGTTCACACATCTGAAAATCCACTAAATCAACTCCGAGAGTCTGTGCGAGATCTTCATTGATCCTAACTGACGAAGAACGGCTAAGATCAGCGAATGAGAGACGTCGGAAAGAAGGAAGTGGTCCGAGATGGTTTTTTGAGAACTCTGATCTCGAAGGTCGGCAACGGCTGAGATTTCCAAAGACAGTTTGGTCATCGACGGAGCAACAGTTTGAGGCAAAGGGTTTCCATAACGGTGAGGATTTGGTAGATGATGCTGTTGAGGAGTCTCTCATTGAGGCAAAAATGGTTTAACTAAATGTTTTTTGAGCTTTAGGCTTAAGTAGGAGTCAAACAATGATGGGTGGGTTGGGTCTTATGAGATAGGGACTATGCATATATATGTATGTATATAACAAAGAAAATTAAAGTGTTATATAGATCACAAATTATGGACCTTCTATATACATATATGGGTTATTCATTAGTTTATGATTAACTAACGAGAAATATGTATTTTGTACACAAGATCCGTTTTGAATTCGGATATAGTGATCTAAAAGTTTTTAAAAATTTTGTTCTAGAACCTTACAAATAGAAAAGGTTATTAATTAGAAACCACTTGTTAAAACGATTAAATTAAGAGGTCTCATAATCATCAAGATACATTTCTTGCGTACATATACAATATTTAATTAGTTCAATTCCGTAAACAAGGAAAAATGTAAATTCAATAATAGGTTTACTAGCCATCTTGTAGACTTACACAAACATATAATTAGAATAATCATATATATATATATATATATTAGAAAATGTGAAATATCGGTTTTGTTTTTTTAGTTTCAATTAAGGATAAGATAATAAAATCAAAGATAAATAGGTTTTAACCAAAAAAAACAAAGATAATAGGAAAGAGTAGGGACGTTCTTTCTTTAACTGCCCTAACCACTCTACTCAAACTTGGGGTTTTGTGTCATGATGTCTTCTCTTTTGACTCATTGTGGAAATATATGTACGTGTGTGTCATATATTTGACTAGAAACAAATCTTTACCATGGTCTAATAATTTACAATACGGTACACATAATATTATTAGATAACCGATTTTAAAAATCGCGGCCAAGTTTAGGTTAATAGATATAGTGTAGTGGATTTGTTATATTACTCAAAATTTTGGTGATCGGTTTTATTAGAAGCATTTCTTACAACTAAAACATAATTGACTAAATTGAGATTTTAGGATCTATCCAAGTTTTGGCTCTCAAGATCTAGTTACAGGAGCGAAGTTAGACAACAAATAAATGTTACTAAAGCAAAAGTCACAAAGGAAAACTTTCCACGAGTAAAATATATAGACATGTATCCAAAATGTTTAATCAGAGAATGAATTTACGTTTTTAACGATAGAGAAAAATGTTATGAGAACGAATTGAAGACCGTAAAACATTCTTCTAATTATTTTGTACTCGGGCAAGGAAAGCAAAAGTACTAACTTTACTCTGTTAGAAGCTATTAGCTAGAGGATTAAAGTCAGAGCCGGTTCTGATTAGAAAAATGGAGAACTCGCCTAATTGGACTTTATAATTAAGCATATAACGGTATAATAGGTTTGGGTTAGGCTTAGAGCATGTAATTAAGCATATAACGGTAACCATTTCAATTAAGCCCAATGGCTAGCAAGAGAGAGATAGGTGGGGGGGTCATACATCATCATCTATTTATTCGTTTCGTTACTGTTTTACTATGTTCTGTGTATAAGAAACATATTTACCCTATTCTACGTTCTTGTACTATCAATCAATTAAATTTCGCAATTCTATCAAAAGAATACATTTTTAATCATCTAACGTAGTTTGAATTTTTTAAACGAATGCAGATTTCTTAAACTGGTGGATAATTTGTTACGGAAAAACACGTCAAATATATGGAAAAACATAATAGAATATAATGCCACACTATTTCATTTAATTCCTACATAGTCAACTCTAAATTCTATTTACTAAGCCTTAATTCAAACCCAGTATTATAATATTGGAAATGTATTATATCTTAATTTTGAAAATTTAATATATTATATAGTTTCTGTGTAAAATTGTTGGCAATCTATGTGTTCTATAGATTAAAGAGAATATTAATTAGTTTTGTTCTTTTTACCATAATCTCTACAAAAATAATTTTAAAATTAAATATTAAACCCTAATCCAAAAGAGAAGTTTTAAATCCCATATATAAATTCTAAACACTGAAAATGGTGTATTTTTCTTATTTTTCAATAAAACAATATATTCTATTTGGTATATAGATTGCATCAGTCTATATGTTTTATATAGACTGATGGGTTGTCACTTAGTTACACATCCGTTTCTTGAGTTTTTATTTTCATTTAAAAAAATTCAAACCAACACATATTCATAAAAGAAAATTTAGCTGTATTTTTCTCTAAGATTGCACAAGAAGGTTTACAGAGACTGTATTTTTTTCTTCTTTAAGTTGGTCATCGACCTAATTAACCCAAACACAAGCACACATACGTATGATATTCAAAATTAGCCAATTAGGTAAATCATATGACTTGTGGGTTTAAAATATGCACAAGAAGTTCCTTAAAAGGATGATTTTTTAATTAATGTTATTTATTTCTTAGTTAATTTCTGATTTTTCTCCCTAGTGGAAAATCAAAGGAGCAGTTAAAGTGAGATAATGGATGATGTATACAAATATAGATGATGTATGCTAAGAAAATCCCTGCAAATAATAAAACTTTATTTTATCATTTCCATGACGCTTCTTCCTGCTCCACATTTATGTAGAGATTATGGTTTAGCCCAAGTTTATTTGATAAGGTTCAAATCTTCAATAGGCTTTTTATTTGGGCTTAGCTTGGTTTTAGCCCAAGTTTATTTGTTAAGGTTCAAATCTTCAATAGGCTTTTTATTTGGGTTTGCTTAGGTTAACACAAGATAATGAGAAAGTATACGAAATAGAAGAATGTAAAAATCATAGGGAGAGGTGTGTGTGACCTTCTTCCTCTTTGGAAAGTCGATCGACGCATAAATTTGTTTTTCGGTGAATTTAGGATGTTTGATTTTGTTAAGAAGCTGTGATTTAGGAGGACTCGTAGTATCTAGAGTTGTCTATATTAATTATCTTTAAGATGAATGTTCAAGTTCGTGAACAATTGTGAGTTGATATGTGAGTTCTTAGTTTTTCATAGACATTGTTTTATATAATCTACTAGCAGAGCCGTGCTCACCTTGTATATAAAAAGGCGGCTGCCTCAAGCCCCCTATGATATATCTAAATTTTATGGTATGAATTTTAAATTTTAGTTATAAAACAAACTATTATATATATGTGTAAATAGTATCTCTTTTATTAGTTTCCCATCCAAATAATAATTTTCTATAAACATAGTGAAGTTAGGCTTGAATCCTTCTATGTTTAATCATTATTAGTTTTCACATATAAAATTCTCATTATTTGTTCTAAGCTGATTTTTCTTTTGATTATGTTTTTATTACTATTTTTTTTGCTTCTCGTATATTATTTTTAATATATAATTTCTATAATTTATTTCATTTTATATTTTTGTTTTTTAAAAAAAAAATACAATTTGATCAACACAGATTTTATAAAATATGTACATACTCTTGTAATAGATGATCTTTTGATATTGAAATTTTGTTTGATATAGTAAACTGTATAGTTTGTCTATAGACTGATAATATTGAATCTAGCTTTTTCATAATATTGGATGTATTTTACTAGCTAGATGTTTCATATTTTTTTTATTAACGCACTTTTGTAGAGGCCACATTTTTAAATTTCGTCTTAAGCTCCTTCAAACCTAGGCACGGCACTGTGTACTAGGCATTGTTTTAAATGCCAATAGCAAGTTTTTTTACTAAACAAAAAGCTAATATAATTGAGTTAGCCAAAAAAATTGTCTTATTCACATTATTTATGTCCATAAGAACTTTAGATTTATTTACAATACTGTAGTTGTCTTGTAACTTTATTCCTTTTCTCTCTTTTCCTCTTTTTATCATGTCTTTCTTCATTCACCGAGTCAAAAGCTATTCTCATGAGTGACTAGAATAAATTCGTTTATTGTTTAATTATTTTTTTTCTTTAGAGTTCAACCGACTTTGCGGTCATAAAATTAGAGACAAAATCCGAATACATTTGAAATTTTTTAAAAGAAAAATAAAATCTTAGTTTTCGAAACATAAATAATAAAATCCTTCTGTCCAAAAAAGAGAGTAAAATCTTTGCTGAGAAGTGAGAAACTGAGAGTGGAATGTGACTGTTATATTTGGCTTTAACTTCTTTTGTTTTCTCTTTAGAAAAATAAAGTCACGACTTGCCCAATCAGCTAACACTTAAATTAAACTGCTTTACCCTCCACTATCAAAAGTTACATCGAGTCACCCCACTATTCTACAATCTTGTCGTTTTCAACCCCAAAATTGTTCAAATACTTTAATAAAACCCATTAAACCGATACTATAACCTCCTCATAATACTAATACCCTTACAGAGTCAAGAACAAAAATGTATGTGACGAGGACACTGTCGCAGTTCAGAAAATTTCAGAAGACACTCTCGGAGGAGTCACCGGAAGGTCCATTCTCCGGCGTTCTTGTAATTACAGACGAAGAAGCAGAAACAGAGGACACGTTCTGTTTCGGGATATGTAAGAGGACAAAAATCGAGAAGCTTCCGTTCCCTCAGGACAAGATCTTATCAATTGTTCACAGAGACAGTTCCGGTAACAGAGAGACTTCGGTTAAAAAGGTCTTGTTCATACCGGCTCTTGATCAACCATTGTCTTCAAATCGGTATTACGTTGTTCACGCTAGAGGCAGACACAAAGGGTAAGATCTAAAAGTCAAGAGAAATTCAAAGTTCTACGGCTTAATTTAGATTTAAGTAGTGTCTTTGGCGTTTTGGTAATAAAAAAAGGAATTCACTTTAGGATTTAGTGTAGTGAACTCTTCTCTTCTCTGTTTCTCTTTGCAGGAAAGTCTGTGTGTGCTCAAGGGAGATAGAGAAAGGGTTATGTTGTTTTCCAGATATCTTGCATGACAAGAAACCTAAACCTTTGGATCCAAGAAACATATATCAGACGGTTAAGATCAACCGCCATCACGAGCGGACGTTCTTTGCAAAATCCGTTGCTCCAGACGGTACACCACCTTCATTTCTCAAGAAGAAAGGGTGGGAGCTACGAACTTCTAGGAGCCTGCATCCGAGGAGACCTAGAGAAGCTCTAGGCCTAGACGATGAGCTAAGAGCTCGTCTCCCTGAATTTGGATTCCCGATCTCTACAATTCGATCCGGGAGCGTGATAGTAGGAGAATGGTATTGCCCGTTTATGTTTGTGAAGGAGAATTGTAGTGTAAGTCACCAAATGAGGAAGTCAATGTTCTATAGGATGACACTATCCCAATACTGGGAACGAATCTACCACTGCGAAAACAATAACTTGAATGAAACCAACAACAATCTCGACGAAAACAATGGTGAAAATGAAGAAGAAGTGGTCAGAGTACACACGAACGTAGTGAGAGAGGCGAACTATGTTATGGGCGTGGAGGCAGTTAAGGGAGAGAAAGAAGGGCATGGAGGGTTTTATTGGTATAGGCCAGTTCAAGGTTCACGGGGACCAAATGAAAGGAGGAGGAAGACACGTTTAGGGTCTGCCGTGGGGCTGAGTTTCGCTGTAGTGGAAAGGATGAGAAGGGTAATGGAGGAAGGAGGATGGGTGGGAGGAGGGAGGAAGGTGGTGAGAGTGGAGAGAGATGAGCAAATTAGGGTTTCTAGAAGAGATTTTAGGGATATGAATGGTAACAATGATAGAGATTGGAGGAGATTTGGGTGTTATGTGTTGGTGGAGAGTTTTGGGTTGAGAAGAGCTGATGGAGTTTTGTTGGTTAAATGTGTATTTAGACATACTCAAAGACTGAGATGTAAGTGGGAGTGACTCTTCATTAATTAGTAATTGTACATATAATACTTCTATACAAAAATTCCCAAGCTTGGACCTGCTTATGGGTTATGTTTCATGAAAATCGTCACTCTTCCCAAGCAAGGATCGAACGCAGATTCAGATATTACAACCTCCTTTGGAGAGTAACTTCTCGAGCAAGTGAGTTGTCTACACTTGTGGTTGATAAACAATTATGTTGCCTTGCTTGTATCATAAGATTATAGAACTTGAAACTCATAAAAAATCTAAAGTTTTTATAATCTGTAAGTCTAATACATTATTGTTATGATTGTTGGGTATATCATATATGAACTACATTTACGTGTAACTGTGTAAGATAAATAAAACTACGTTTACGTGTAAAAAACTATAAGCACAAAAAAAAAAAAGAGAGAGAGAAGAAAAGAAAAAATTTGTGTAAACATGTTTAAAATGATTTGTACCAAACTCGGTTATAAGTGGTGGGGTAATTGTCCGAGAGTCAAGCGATCCCAGTGTCTTGTCTTTCCACGCGTGTGATCCGCGCACAACGAAGTTGTATTCCGTGATGCAATTAGATTATATAAAAAGAAGCTGTCAATTAGCTCAATGACAAGTAACCTGAAGTAGAATTAGGTAAATAGCAATTAAAAAAGGATAACTGAGGACATTGGTACTGCTAAAAAACATAAGCACTGCTAAATCCAACTTCTTGTTTTTCCCAACTAATTTTCATCCATTTTCCAGGTATCCAGTTAACCCAAAATTTAAGAATGTTGTGCTTTAAGAAACAAATATTCCCTTATTTGCTTTCTAGAATATATTTTATTTGTAAAATGGATTTAGGGGGATTAAAAAGGGTGATTTGCATAAATAATACCTTTTACACTAACAATTAGGTGAATACCATACAAGAACAGTCAATTAGGTAAATAACAGTAGTCAACCGTCCAGAAGCTGAGGAAAATACAAAAAACTCTTTGCTTCCTTATCCAAAACAATGCTTTTTCCTGACATGAAAATGACGTATACTTTTTGTAAAGTTGAAGACGCTACCATCAACTTTAAAACAATAGCAGTGACTACTTTTAAGCATCGATTGGAGTGTATATGATTGTGATTAAAATATAGTCCAAAAGAAAAAAAAACTAAGGAAAAAAACTGGAGGATTGTCTATGAATGAGAAAAAGCTGGAGGATCGTCTATTACTGGGTTCAATATCCCTTACAGTAGTCGATTATGGTTAAAATATAGTTAACTACATACTGAACTGAGTATTGTAATATATATGTAAAATATGTAAACATAGTGTATTACAATAAGAAATTCTGGATTACAGGTCTTACATAAATAGACGACTATAAGAAATTCGATTACATACCTGTTCTTAAGCGACTTCATAATTGGGATTAGAGAGGCCAACATTCACATCGGTAACCTGAATGATCAAAAGAAATGGAAGACATAGTCGAATACATATACCAATTAGATAGACAACTATTAATAGATGGATATAAACTATAAAATAGAAAACATAGTCGAGTACATATATCAACTACATAGACAACTATTAATAGCTAAATATGAACCTGTACTTTATGAATCTCAGAATTCGGGTCTAAGATGTCTATATTTTCGAGGGTGGGCTAAACAGTAACACAAGATAAGTAAAAATAATCGATTATGAAGTAATGTACTACAATAATAGACACTCGATTACATGTCTTACATAAATAGACAATTATTAAAAGTCGATTACATACATTTTCTTTAGCTACTTCATAATTGGGATTAGGGAGGCCAACATTCACATCTGTAACCTGAACGATCAAAAGAATAAGAGACATAGTCGAATACATATATAAATTAGATAAACGAATATTAATAATCGATATCAATTATATCAATTCTCGGATATCTGCATTTTCGAGGGTGAGCTAAACAGTTTCACAAGATAAGTGAAAATAATCAATTATCAAATAGACTGCTACTAATAGGTGAATACGAACTTGATCTTTAACGAGCTCGACATTCAGATCTGGGAGGTCTGAAATCTCCTCGGTTGCTTGAACATTAACACATCACCCATGAAATATATTGATTATATAGTAGATGTCTACTAGTAAATGGTTATGAACCTTGACCTTTCCAGACTCCGAACAATATACTCTGTAACATGTAAAGTAATCTGACATGAATAAAAATATAAGATTAAGACATATTGGATTTCAATTATATGAATACGAACTTGATCAAAGGAGAAACCGCTATGTTACTGTTTCTGAAGGAGGCTAGTGGGAACAGTAGAATAGGGGGTATTTCTGACTTTCTGAGTAAGGGTATATCTGAATAGTAATTACAACTAGTCAGTTACACAAAATGCCGACTACAATTGAAAATTAAATTGAAACATTATCCATAGATAAATAGTTGGCTACAAATTCAAAAACGAATGTTCATAATAGTAGTTGACTGCAAAACATGTAAAAAGTTCATAATTATAATAGAAAACATAGACATCTACCCATAGGTAGTCTACCAAAACAAGAGACAACAACTAAATTTGAAGAACTGGTTTAACATGCTTTTTCCAGATAACAACCAAAAGAAATAGGATCGGCCGCAGATTCTTTTCCTAGCCTTACAAAGACATCAAGCAGTAGATCCTGAATCTGGAGAAGCACATTATTTGCCGAGACGTTGAGATGTTCAGAAGTGGATGTGTCTTTTGTTATTAGAAGGTTGTCCATTCTGATAAATAAATATAAAATAGACAACTATTAGTAGAAGGTTGTTCATTCTGATAAATAAATAGAAAGTAGACAACTATTAGTAGACAATAAATAACATAGGATTTGCTTCTTGGTTTCGCTATTGTAGTTGATTAGCAATGTTAACATAAAATGGATGGATATGACAGTTTGCATCACTAATCTGGGGAAGCACATTATTTGTAAACGGTGTGGGTTCGGATTGTCGAAGAGTACACATATCCCTTGAAACGAACGAAAGTCAAATAGTTAGCTACTGTAAACTGACTACCAATGTGACGTAAATAACTATTGTTATTCATATGAGTAGTTGACCATTCCTGTCTAGTAGTTATATAGACTAACTGAATATGCAGCTTTATATTGAATCGGTTATAGACGTTGCGAGTAGACAATTACTAGCGATGATGTATATAGTTAACTACCGAAAGAAAAATTTTAAAATCCTAGATCTATAAAATCAAGAAACCCATATGTGGATAACAACGAAGATGGCCACCAAACTGAAGAAATACAGAGAATAATTTACAAGAATAGTAGAAAGTAAAAATCAGCAGAACAGAACCAAGTATTGAAGAGATACGTTTCATACCTCACCATTGAAGAAAGAATCGGCTGTGTTACATATTTTTCACCATGGTTTGAAGCTGATGAATTGGCGATAATGAGGGATGGTAGAGCCTCGCCGTAGAGAAAGAGAGGAGCAAGAAGAAAGACGAACGAGTAGTCATCGTAGAGAAAGAGAGGAGAGAATTTTTTTGGATGTGGGAGAAATTATTTGAAATAGAAATAAAAAAGTGAAAAACGCCTCTTTTGAATTTTTGACGGAAGAAGGAAGATATAAAGAGAGGATATGGAAATGAAGAACAAGATTTCAAATTTTAAAATTCTGAATATGAAAACAAGACGTAAATTATTATTTTTAAAAAGAAATCGATGAAACAAAAAGATAAATTGTGTCAAACCAAAAAAGTTTGTGTTGCTATGATACAGTTTTTATGTCATAAGGCTGGGAAGCTGAAGGTGTGTAATGTTTTTGCACAAAAATAAAAAAACTACTTTTCATTCTAACAAATTCTTATTTACAGACTATTATTCTTTACAATTTCCCAGTTGAAAATCACCATAACTTGAAAACTTTTGGCGAAGGAAAAATTAGAAATTTCTTCTTTAAGTATAGAGGCTCTAAAAAGAAAATCATATGGTAGAAGAATAATAATCTTGGATTTTCTCAACCACCCAAAAAAGAAGGTCGCATTTTCTAGATAAAATTTTATTGACACGTACCTTTCTGGCCTAGTTACAAGTCACATTTCATTAATAATCCAAAGTCTAAATAAAACGTGAAAATTTCATTCTATTGTCAATTGTCAACACATTTCGCCGGTTGTCCTTTCAGTCGTTAATTGTAATTTTCTGGATTATTTCCTCTAACTTTAACCATAAAAATAAATATATTGATGACTTTATCTCTAAGAAAAATACAAGTCGATATATTTAGAAAGACCAATTAGTCTTCTTGGAAAATTCAGCAAACTTATAAAAAGATATAAAAAACAACAGCCACTATTTTTGTTCTTTCCATTAGCTTTTTACTGTGATAAACAGATCTCTGAGGATCAATCTTACCAAAAATATGGCAGAATTTAACAGAAACATTACTTTGGTCACGACACTTTTGATTTTACTTCAACTATGTAGCAGCGTATCTTGCTCCACAAGAAACTCAATCACCAGAAACAACACGATCCGAGACGGAGACTCACTGATCAGCGAGGACGAAAGCTTCGAGCTTGGCTTCTTCAGCCCCAAAAATTCAACCTTAAGGTATGTCGGAATTTGGTACAAGAACATCGAACCTCGAACAGTTGTCTGGGTCGCAAATAGAGATAAGCCATTGCTGAATCACAACGGAGCTCTGAAGCTTGCAGACGACGGGATGTTAGTGGTCGTTGACGGTCAAAACGACACCGTTTGGTCTACAAATGCTAAGCCCGAGTCAAACAACACTGTTGCTGTTCTGTTAGAAACAGGGGATCTGGTTCTGTCTTCAGATTCAGACAGAAGCAATTATTATTGGGAGAGCTTTAACAATCCAACCGACACTTTCTTGCCTGGTATGAGGGTTCGTGTGAATCCTTCACAGGGAGAGAATCGAGCTTTTACCCCGTGGAAATCCGAAAATGATCCTTCACGAGGAAGGTATTCACTAGGGATTGATCCTATTGGAGCACTAGAGATTGTGATTTGGGAAGGTGAAACGAGGAAATGGCGGAGTGGACCGTGGAACGCAGCTATATTTACTGGTATACCGGATATGTTCCGTGTCACGAACTATATCTATGGGTTTAAGCTCTCTTCTCCTCCTGAAAGAGATGGTACCGTGTACTTCACGTATGTTCCATCAAATAGCTCTGACCTATTAAGGTTTCAGATTAGGTTTGATGGAGTTGTAGAGCAGTTCAGATGGAACAAGAATGATAAGATCTGGACTTCACTTCAATTAAAACCGAGCACGGAATGCCAGAGTTATAATCGCTGCGGTAATTACAGCGTTTGTGATGATAGTAAAGACTTTGATTCCGGTAAATGCAGTTGCATTGATGGGTTTGAGCCTGTGAATCGGAATCAATGGGACGACCGAGTTTTTTCAGGTGGCTGCAGAAGAAGAGTTCCGTTGAACTGTAATCAGAGCATGGTTGCGGATACAAGAGATGGGTTTAAGGTACTTAAGAGAATGAAGGTGCCTGATTTTGGATCAGTTGTTTCACATAACAACTCAGAGACATGTAAAGATGTATGCTTGAGAGACTGCTCGTGTAAGGCTTATGCGGTTGTATTTGGGATCGGATGCATGATTTGGACCCGAGATTTGATTGATATGGAGCGTTTTGAGCATGGTGGAGAGTTTATCAACATCCGACTAGCAAAATCTGATTTAGGTGAAAACATTTGAAAGATTATTACCTGACTATTCTGAAATCTGTATCCTTAAATAATGTTTTCGATTTCTTTTGTTGTGTAAACAGGACGCGGAAAGGAAAAAATGAAACTTTGGATCATTATTTTCAGTGTTATAGGTGCCTTCTTGCTCGGATTATGCATTTGGATCCTATGGAAGTTCAAGAATAGATTTAAAGGTAACAGCCTCTATTCACACATAGTATGGTTTGAAAAGGGTTAAGTGTGAAGACTCAGTAATCAATTATTTCATAATCTGCAGCTTTCTTGGGGAAGAAGAAAGATTTTCCGGTTTCCGATATCAGAGAGAACAGAGATAACTCGGATAAATCCTCAAGCTCGCCGATCCAAGTTATAGTAGGGAATCAAGTTGACACACCTGATTTGCCAATTTTCAGTTTCAACAGCGTAGCTTTAGCTACAGGAGATTTCGCTGAAGAAAACAAGATTGGACAAGGTGGATTCGGTACTGTATATAAGGTGAAACATAAATGAATATGAATATTCTTGAGACGAATGTTGGGTGATAAAGGTTTGATCTTTATGCTAAAATTTATGTGTTATGTTTTGACAGGGAAACTTTCCAGTAGATGGAGAGATCGCGGTGAAGAGACTGTCAGGGAAATCTAAGCAAGGACTAGAGGAATTCAAGAACGAGATCTTACTGATCGCGAAACTCCAGCATCGAAATCTTGTTAGATTACTAGGATGTTGCATTGACAACAACGAGAAGATACTTCTCTATGAATACATGCCAAATAAGAGCTTGGACCGGTTCCTTTTCGGTATGTTTTCGTTTATAACATTTTCAAGAAATATGTTTAAGAAGTTTGGGAATTGAGCATAAAAGTTGATCTACGTACATGGACAGATGAGAGTAAACGAGGAAGCTTAGACTGGAGAAAACGATGGGAGATCATTGGAGGAATCGCAAGGGGGTTGCTTTACTTGCATAGAGACTCAAGGCTAAAGATCATTCACCGTGACCTAAAAGCTAGCAATATCTTGCTAGACACGGAAATGAATCCAAAGATCTCGGATTTTGGTATGGCTAGGATCTTCAACTACAGACAAGACCAGGCCAACACGATCCGAGTCGTCGGCACATAGTAACTAAACAAACCTCTTTTTTTGGTTTCTCTTCTATAAACAAAATGAATCTGTATCCATTTCTAATGATTTTGATGTTGAAAATGTGAAGTGGTTATATGGCTCCGGAGTATGCAATGGAAGGGATGTTCTCAGAAAAATCTGATGTGTATAGCTTTGGAGTGTTGATAATGGAGATTGTTAGTGGAAGCAAGAACGTTAGCTTTCGAGGGTCTGAACATGGAAGTCTCATCGGTTTTGTAAGTATTTTTTACTGTACATAATTTTCAAGCCTATACTGAAACTAATAGGGGTGGATAATCAGGGAAAATAAAAATTTAGTTTAGGTTCCGGTTTTGGGTTTTAAAGTTCACAATAAAGAATATTTCTATAAAACATTTGTTTTAAGTAAGTTTATTTTATTTTCATCTCGTTTGTAATGTTCTAAACGAATATAAAAATAAAACTCCAGGCTTGGCATTTATGGAGCCAAGGGAAGACGAAAGAGCTGATAGATCCAACGGTAAAGGACAGTCGAGACATAAACGAAGCAATGAGATGCATCCACGTGGGGATGTTGTGTACGCAAGACTCGGTGATATACAGACCAAACATGGGTTCGGTTTTGTTGATGTTAGAGAGTCGAACCAGCCACCTTCCGCGCCCGAGACAGCCTACCTTCCACTCGTTCTTGAACTCCGGGGAGATTTTAGACGGTCAAGATGTTGCCTCGGTCAACGATGTTACTTTGACCACCATTGTTGGTAGATGACTATTTTGACCATAACTTGTTCTTCTCTTTGACTTTTCATTTTTGTCTCACAGTCTTTTTCTCATTTTAATAAATTTTCCACCTTGTGTAAATAATTAAATCTTCGTCTAACTAAACATTTTTTTATAATACATACATATTTGGATTTGAATATTGTCGAGAAAAAAAAAAGAAGCAAATTCGATAACCGGATCCAATCATTTTTTATCATTGTTTTATCATCACCAAAAAATATAATTGATTTAATCCTATTAAAAACGATATTCTATCTGACCACACTCACAACATATAAAATGATGACGAACAGTCATACCTATAACACTTTAAAGCTGCTTTGTATTTAGAGATATTTATACTCAATGGTTTTTTTGAGTTACATATTAAACTTTTTGACACTTTCATTTGATATGATTCTTTCCACTTCAAATATTTTGTAAAAAGACATAACTACCTATCAGCTCAATTAAATTAAAATGAACCAAACCAATTCATCTATATTACAAACCGATTAATGGAGATAACACTACTTCTCATTACTAACTAAAAAATTTAAATAAAATAAATAAGAAAGAAAAAACTTAACAAAACAATTCTATCTTTTTTTTGATCTGGTTCGTTCTTCTCTCTTCTTCTTTACACTATATTTTTTCTTTCATTCATTTTTTTCTCCATTAATGGAGACCACAAAATTTTCACCACAATCACCACTCTTCATCTTACAAACACCACCACCACAATCTCCATTGTTTTCTCCATCCTCTTCATCTTCTTCTCCGTCTTGCGCCGATAGCACTACAGAGCACCTTCTCCGCCAAGTGTGGCTCATCTTCTTTCTCCTCTGCCTTTCTGCTGATTGGGCACGACTTCTTCTTCACCGTCGGCGACGTCGGACATTTCAACATGGACGCATCCACGTCTCCAAACATGATGCATTTTAATCATTCAATACAATATGGTTATTCTATATGGACATGGACATATTGGATGATTGGTTTCTATTTGTTTTCATATTAAACGAAGATGAGATCATTGGTGTTTATTGATGCTGGAATGGACGTGTCCACAAGGACATAGCTTCAATAATGTATTTTTAATTTGACGTTTTCAGGCTGTCTCCATGACCCTTTTTTTTGTGGATGAATGTATATGGATTGCTTGCTTGTTTAAAGAAATATTGAAATTTAGTTTCGCGGCTGATACCCAAGTTTTATTAGAGAAGAAAAATTGGATGTGTCTAGGTGGATCGGTGTGTCGTGGATACATCTCCAACGTTGTCTATATCACCATCTCTGCTGTTATCCATATTGTTGTCCATGCCTCTACGCCGTCGTTGCTATTATCCATGCAAAATAAGCGATGAACCCTGTTGGAGGTGAAAACCGCACCCCGGTTTTCTCCGGTACAAACCGAGATCGGCATGACGTAAGCCCGGTTCACGAAAGAATGTACCGGAGAAACTGGGCCGAATAAAGTCTTGGGCCGAACGCAGCCCATTAAGCCAAGGTCGGCGAGGAGCTTCTCGAAGGAACCGAGAAGTTCCCTGAGTTCGCTCGAGAATAGGAAAGTTTCCTATTGGAAAAAGGAAACTACTACAAGAAAAGGCAAAGGACCGAGAGAAAAGGAAAGTTCTCTCGGTCCCATATCGCTGAAGATGCACTCGATGACCGACTCAGAGGATATATATAAAGGAAGATGAATCGACACCAGAGGACACAAGATATTCCAGAGAAGACTTAGAGACTGAGAACTCATCACTTTAGATTCTTAGTTTCATAAAGTCTTAAGTTCGTTATTCTCAACTTAATAACCGAACTCAGTTGTACTCTTTCGATTCGATCTAATAAAACCCGAGTTTACCGATCTAAAATACTGTTTTGCCCCTTGTTGATATTCATATATCAACAATTGGCGCACCAGGAAGGGGGCCTGAACAGAATTTTCAGTTCTAGATCGGACTTCGGATAGATCGGATCAGCAATGACGGACCAAGCCAACATTCAGGAGGAAGGAAACCCTCTCGGTGGAGAGAACGCTAACGTTCGAAACCCTGCGGAGCAGGGGGGAGGAATTCCTGGGGAAAACGCCGGGACTGAAGCCGGCCAAACTCCCGCAGCCGTAGGAGGTTTTGGAACTGAACTATTGCTCCAAGTGTTCAACGCTCAGTTCGAAGCCATTAACAAAAGGAGCGAGGAACGTTTCAGTCAGATGGCAGCACAAATCGCCGATCTCAGTCACGCACGAACTCTCCTTCGAGTTCGGAACATCATTGACGACCTCAATACTGACGGAGACCCAGCCGGAACTATGAGATCTACTGCAGTCGGATCAGCGAACGCACCAACATCGGATCTAAGTCGTGACGCCGAGTTCGAAGCGATGAAGGCACAACTTCACGAGATCACCTCGAAAATACATCAAGCAACAAGCGCAGCTCCGGAGATCGAGCGCGTCATTCAAGAAACACAAAAGACACCCTTTACACCACGCATAGCAGGAACACCAGTCAAACACATGGAGAAACTTAAGATAAAGATCTATGAAGGCAATACTGACCCCCAGCACTTTTTGACATCATTCGGCATCTGCATGAATCGATACCAGTTCAAATCGGCCGAGGAGAGGGATGCGGTTCAGTACCAGCTGTTTGTGGAGAGTCTGGAAGGAGTGGCTCTCGATTGGTTCTCACGACTCGAGGCGAACTCAATAGACAAATATAAGGAGTTGACGACGGCCTTCGTCAAACACTTCTCCATGTTCATCGGGTAGAACACAAAGAACTCCGAGCTCTGGCAGATAGCCCAAGGAGCAAGCGAGAGCCTTCGCGATTTCATCCAGCGCTTTAAAACAATCGTCGCTAATTGTACGATCAGCGATGAAGCCGCCGTCTTATGCCTTCAGAAAGGAGCTCGGATAAAGACTAGCTTCCGAAGCGCAATCACACACAACCCTCCACAGACGTTAGAAGACGCACTACACCGAGCTAATACTTACATCGCCGAAGAGGAAGAAGAGGTCGTTTATGAGCAAAGTTATTCGACAAAGCAACCCAAACGTTCGAAAGCAACAACTATCGAACCACAGTTAGGATACAGCATAGGGTACAAGAATCGTAAGAAGTTCTACGCTAATGCGATCCAACAATCAACCAAACAATGGAACAATAAATGGGTCCGTGGTGAAAAAGATCAGGACGAGTCCTTGTTCTGCGAATTCCACAACCGTAGAGGACATAGCACCAAAGAATACAGACACCTGCGAGAATATCTACTCGGCCAATACCGAAAGGGGCCAATCTCGGTTGACGATCTCCGTCGCTCAAACACGCCTAGGAACAGTGGGCAAATCTCGATTGACGATCTCCGTCGTTCAAACATGCCTCGACCAAATAACGTACAGCTCGAGAACGCCATCGCCAAGGATCCACCAACTCCACCGTCTTTACCGATGTTACCAGCTTTACCGACGCTACCACCACCGCCACCGAATGCGCCTGCATTGCCCGAACAACAGAAACACAATCGTGACGACCGAGCACCAGAAAACCATGCTCCCAAAGCAAGGAAACGCGTCAACATGATAATGGGGGCCATCGAAGCTTGCAGCTATTTGGTTCGAGCTATCAAAGAATACAGTAGACAGGCCGCCAGCGCGCCCAAAGTCCCGCACGATCCGCCGAAGGGAACGCCTTTGGTATTTACCGAGGCCGACACAATCGGGCTGCATAAACCCCACAACGACGCCCTCGTCGTCGAACTACTTCTCGACGATGTCGAAGTTAGTCGCATTCTGGTCGACACAAGCAGTTTGGTCAACATTATCTTCAAGGAAGCACTTGACCAGCTCAATTTACCGTCAGATAAGATTGAGCATTTTATCGAGCCACTTACAGGTTTCGACGGAGAACGCTGCATGACGGTCGGCATGTTCAACATCCCGATCTACCTCGGTGGAGTCGCAAAGATTTCCAGTTCCTCATCCTCGACAAACCGGCAGTCTACAACGCCATTCTCGGTACGCCTTGGTTACATGCAATGAAGGCGGTTGCCTCAACGTACCATCAATGCCTGAAGTTCCCAACTTCCGACGGTGTTTACACTCTCCGAGGAAACCAAGCCGTCGCTCGATCATGTTACATAAACGAGTGCAAACTTCGTTCGGCCAACCAAACCTGTGTCATCAGTTTGTTAGGGCCGACGAACGAGCTCGTCGTCCAGCAGACAAAGCCTAAGCAGTAGTCGATCGTTCAAGTTTGTATCGACGAACTAAGGCCAGAGCGTCAAGTCGGAATCGGTGCCGAACTCGACTCAAGCATCCGCGATCCACTCATTTACTTTCTGAAACAGCATTCGTCCACCTTCGCATGGTCGGTAGAAGATATGCCCGGGATTGATCCACAGATTGCGTGTCACGAGCTTAACATCGATCCAACATACAAACCGATCAAGTAGAAACGCCGAAAGCTCGGACCAGAGAAGGCACAAGCCGTCAATGGTGAGGTCGAGCGGTTGCTTAAAGCAGGATCTATTACTGAGGTCAAAGATCCTGATTGGTTAGCAAATCCCGTAGTTGTTAAGAAAAATAACGGTAAATGGAGGATTTGCGTCGACTTTACCGATCTCAATAAGGCATGTCTGAAAGATAACTTTCCTTTGCCTCATATCGACCGCCTCGTGGAAGCAACTGCCGGGAACGAACTACTCTCGTTTATGGACGCATTCTCCGGATACAATAAGATTCTTATGCATCCACAAGACCGAAAAAAGACATCGTTCATCACGAACCGCAGCATATACTGCTATAAGGTCATGCCTTTTGGTTTGAAGAATGCTGGAGCAACATACCAATGACTAGTGAACCAGATGTTCGCAAGTCAACTCGGACGAACTATGGAAGTCTACATTGACGACATGCTTGTAAAGTCACTCGTCGCTTCCGATCACGTCGGTCATCTTCGCACATGCTTCGATATCTTAGATCAGTATGGCATGAAGCTTAATCCTTCTAAGTGCATGTTCGGCGTAACATCCGGGGAGTTCCTTGGATACATAGTCACACGGCGCGGTATTGAAGCTAATCCGAAGCAGATCGCGGCTATACTCGAGCTCCTGTCTCCAACGACCAAATGTGAAGT